GGTTCTATAATGTTGTAGCTTTCACTTACCAGCCGATGTAGTCTACGCCATCACGATATATGACATTGGCGGATTTAGATGGGGGCCGAGGCCCCCCCCCTCCTACTTTTAACAACCAACAGGGCTTCGCGCCATCGGCGCTCGCGAACTTGGCTTTAGGCCAACTTATCCCCCCCTTATTCCAGAATCCTAGATCCGCCCCTGCATCATAACCTACAATGAGATACATAATTGGAACTATAAATAGTTATTGTTGTTTATACAAACAGTTACTCATAGATGCATGTAAGCTAAACTGCAGTGTGTCTCCAATGTTCAGGGTCAAAGGTTAGTAAAGTACTAATAGTAGATACCAATTAGTTTTGATTATACATGGTCGATATTTCAATCAAATAAGTTACGAATGTTTTTACCAGGCTTGGTCGTTGAAACAAAAATATTACACAAATGGATTGTTTTCTGTTTAAATGGCAGTCACAACACCCTAGAGGCGTTCATACCAGCGAATTGACATTTGACTGGAGAATCAAGGACACCTATCTTTGTGAATGGTATTGTTGCCGTGAGACATATGGCGCGTGCCAGCAGTAGATGTGAAGACGTAAGGGCGATAAGGACTCATAATCCCCGCTGGTATTAATTAAGAGTAAAACAAAGAAGATTGTATCAACAAGTGTTAGTAATGGACTTCAGGCGAGCGGCTCAATCTGTGGCCTCTATATCATTAGTTTATACAGGCAATTATACAGACTTCAAGTCAGGTGTAACAATGGTATGCAACACCAAATTAACACCAGCAAACAACAATACACCATCGATGACATTGTAACACTAATAAACTGCAGTGTTTGTTGGCATGAACTAATTATATCTTAAAGGGTGTCACTAAAGTTTTATGCGTAAAATACAATTACAAGAATGGCCAATGTTTCTATGCACGGAGATTTCGGCTAGAATTTCTGGTCGGGACTTTTCGTTTAAACGTTGTGCAGAAAGCAGACTATTCAGTCATTTGTATGATTCATAACATCGTACACATACAAATTTCCTAAAATAATAATAGTTTATAATCGCTTCTGTTACCAGTAACTCTTGCGTTACAAGTACAGCATATTGTGTGTGTGTGAATGAAATAATAAGAACTCGTCTGTACGACAAGAGCCGTATATTTATTTTAATCTACTGAGAGCTTGTTTGTAGACCGTTTGTTTCAAATATTGTGGTCACCTTTGTATGCCTCATAAGTGCTATAAAATGTTCAAGAATAGTTCGGGACGGTGATATATCGATAACACGTATTGTCGTTTGCACGCTACGTAGCAAGTAGAAAGTAAGACGGCCAATGAACGAAGGACGCATGTGCCATAAAATAAATAACTCACGGGTTAAAAAGGGGGTTAATGACAGTAACTTTGATAACAATTTTTGACATTGTTTTTGTTGCCACATCAGTGATGCTAAGCTTTTCTCGGTGGCGTGTTCCAATATTTGTCGAATACCAAAGTCACCTTTTTTAGGGCGTACTTTTGCGGGGATTACAAGTGAAGTTCTGGAGCAGCATGTTGCCGTTATTTTACGTAATGTGACCCAACCTGCATGCTGTACTGTGGATGACGTAACTAATTATTCGACATAATGTTAATGAGTTCACGGTGAATGAAACCCCGTATCCGACGCAATATTAATGAGTTCACGATACTCAACATATGGTTGAATGCAAGCGCGTCAGTGACTTTATCCCGTACACACATCGTACTCTAAGGAATAGAGAACAAAGGCCATCTCATTTGCATATCTTTACAGCCCAACTACGTGAAATGAATCCACCGTCAACTTTTTTCAGCTGATCATATTTTTGTTCGTTTTGCACGTAAATTAGCATAACAAAGCACCATGGTACCAGCTTGTTTATCCAAACTGTTGCCAAGGCCCTCATCACTTTTACCCCTGTAATCTTATTTTAAAACGTCCTGGTATAAATATCAGGCTATTTATTGCAAACCATCAGACAGAAGGAGCGCTGCACAGAGACAAGACTGCGAGCGCGACTGTTTGCAGAAGATTCTGGACCTTAACCTTTAATTACTAAGTTAATTTGATCTGCCGAGGGACCGTATACATCAATTCCTGTCATTAGTGTACAATCAACGGAATACACATTGGCTATATAGAGTATGACGGCCTGAAACAAAGTAAGAATTAACGTTCTAATACTGGGGTAAGTAATCATTATTTTTTTTAAATACGTGTACACAACATGTTTGAGTTTAAAATACACAGTCGACATGATAAAGAGACGAGAATATATAATTTATTATCATCTGAAATTACCGTTTTCTCAGAACCGACAAGTCGTTTTAATAAATTATTGTATTGAAATATTAACTACAAATTAGCAATGTAACCACCATCCTAAAAAAACAATGCTTGTACTGCAAGATTATAGTAAATTTGGAAAATTAATGTTTTCGTTCTTCTAAATCCCATAGCTCTGCTTTGCGAACTCAGAAGTATTTATTTATAAAATAATGCTGTGAAACTAACAGCGCCACCAATGCATCGGTGAGAGAATACATTGTAGTGCAAAGCTCGCACGCGGCCGTATGGCAATATTGAGGCACCAAACCATCGTAGTGTTAATACATTTTCAAACGGAAATTGAATGTCATTATAATTAGATCATACTTCATACGTATATATGTAATCGCCCTCACAGGGGAAACAATCACCCACGTCCAGGTTATTTGTAGAGATCCAACACTCAAACATTGATGCCATACTATATATACTGATAGTTTAATTACATATTACACTTGCACTGTTTTGCAACTCACAGTGAAGCGTCTGACAGTCATGTACCACAGTCATGTACCACAGTCAACTTGTTAGTAATTTCATTGCAAAGATAATAAACTGTTTAGAGTATGGTAAGAAAATAAGTAATTCAGTCATGCTATTTGCATCAAAGCGGTAATTTCCACTGCTAGTATGACTTCCGCGTTACATTTGCCCATTATACATTTAGCTTTCCATGCATGGTTAAAATAATACGTAATTAGTAAATATATTTCTACACACCAGTAACAATAATGTTGGCTTGACTTAATAATTTTTAATATTTCCCTAGGCTTTACATAAATCAACTCGCCCTTAATAACGTGCTACTGTACTATTTTTAGCTTGGACAATGGGCTCTCTTTGTGGTAGTGTGTTAATGTCAGTCCAGGCCACTCACGATTCTTACCTTACACACGCCACGAACTGCCAATTTGAATTTACAACATACTGATATTGCTGGAACTTGTCAGGTCATATGAATATTTAAATATGTAAATTATGTATCCGTGCCTAATAACTATTCCTTTCTTCCCTAAAATCAATATGGTTCAGCCCATGAAGCACCATGACTATATGTATGTATGTATATTGCAGCGTTTACTCCTTATTAAATACTATATTTCTTTGTCCCATTCCAGTACACTTAATACATGTTTGTAACAATAACCTTTACCCATTGTTCACTATGGCACATGGCAAACTAATTATTGATCCTGACACGACCTATAAGGAGCTGAAAATGTTATAAATGGATCGTATAATAAGTCTGCCAAATATGGGCCCTGTCTGATATATGTGTAACTGCAGTGACGTAGCTACGTGTCTTTATTTTACTATAAATAATAATCGTGGTAGCATTCGGTGATGAGTTGAATTTATTGGCTTGTTTGATTCGATAGTCACCGACTGAAATCCATCAAGTCAACACCTGTGTTTGATATCTGAACTAAATATTATAAAATGTTTAAATTCAACTGGGCTACATTGTCGAGTTTCTTGGTGAAAACAATTGTAAAATTCTTATGCCCCTAATGTTGGTGCTGGTGTTCATTCTCGATGACAAATTAACATGAACTGATGTTTGTTTTTTATCCTACGACTGTGCTTTGTCCCGAACATATTGAGGAATTATTATTGCGTCCTTTAAGCGTGTAATTTGAGGGTGGGTAGCAAGATAGCTTGGTGGGATAGAGGGTTTAAACTACAATACATTCTCTAAAAATAAACTTAATCATCGTGGATACTGCGCCCTGTATCTACCACCACTTTTACTCATCCCCAAGTTATTAATAACATTTAGCTCTCATGAAAACATATGGTCGACCCTGGTTAACGTGCGGACGTCGATCTGAGTGCAGTGTACATGTAAAGGGAGCTTCATTCGACGTGCAACGTGAGCGAAACCACTGTGTCGGGATATATTCCGAAGTGGACCAGACTAGCTATCGATACGTCGCCATTACGAGCAAACGCAAGATTAGTTTGCATTATAAGACTATTTTCACGGGCTGCTTATTATGTGAAGGTAATATCTCGTCTTTTAAATGTACACATGTTCTTTGTCTATACTCTACTATATTTCCATACACACGCTATGCCTGTTTCGTTTCAACGTGTTCTCACTGCTCTCCACCATTGGTCTATTGCAACGCGTTGTACTTTCTATTTACTGTTTCATCATGTCACTACACATACATGCCCGCGGTGGTTACCATATGGGCCATGCAATTTCATTCTGTAACTTTACCTAATATTTAAATTCTCATCCACGTATATTAGCTCACATTGGGGGTTTAATATTTTCGTTGAATTCATTCTGTTCTTTCCGTTACTTGAACCGCTATTACGGTATCCACTAACACTACAACAACACGCCGTGTGCACTTCACTTCAAAACGTTTTTAATATATGTTTCACGTTGTTGTGACCGTTATAATGGGCATATCAAGCACCAATGCAATCATAATGCCTACTGTAGCGTTTACAACAATGGGGGACATTCTATCGACTTCCGAAGACAACTATACTACAGACACAACCTGTTGATTGTACCGTGCTATTCTCCACGCCTAGGTGTCGTCTATTCTCCGTGGGCCAGCCACAACAAGTACGTATGTGAACTGCATTCATTAACATTATGTGTGTGGCTGTGGATATGTGATGTTTAACCTAAATGTAGTGTTCATAATATACGACCATGGAAAAATGTATTAGCGAGGCACCAAGTAAAGTTCTTTATTGACTGTGGTGATATTAATATTTAATTAAAACAGTAACTGCAAAACAAATATATATTTCAAATAAGCATAGTTTCAAAGCGAAGGAAAGCGTGTCATTGATTTAAAAAAATGGATTTGTACACTCAACATGCCGCATTTAAAAATGTAAATATAAATCCCTTATGAATAATTCATGTGATTTCGCCATTATTGCATTGCGTAGTTTGTGTGTGGTTGCTGCTACTAAATGCAATAAACTGTAGTCTCGGTATAAACACACCAATTTCGACTTCAGAGATAGTTTTGTCGGTATTTTATTTTATTTAGATTATCGTATTATTTTATATAACGTGTTCACTTAATTGGTTGTCACACCCCAGTGACAGACTGGCCGACTGCCGTTGCTATATTTTTTTTTTTTATCTGGGCCATCCCTATTCACAATGACAAAACATTTTGGCGGTTCATACTTATTCGAACAAGGCTGGTAAATTGTATTGTTGTATCACATCTCGAAATGACAGTGCCTGGAGATGAGTCTCTAATTCTGCGCCCATAGTGTTTCGGTGTAAGAGTCTCTTGAATTTACTTATTTCAGATCTGAACGTTTGTTCGTGAACGAGGTTGGCGAGCTTCAATATTGGAATTTATGGAATGTTCTACAATTATCGGTTTCTGTGTGTTGATTCATTCACAATGACGTAATTATTTGTGGACATGGTGATAGTTGGTATTGTGACAGTACATTGGTTCTTATCCTTGCTAAGTAGTAGTGCCGCAGGTAATTAAAATAATCATTTACCTGCTCTCTACTGCTTAACAAGGTATAACCAAAAATCATCGAAATTACGAGTGTCTGTAATAACTCTTCGTGATACCTGGCGCCCAGGGATTGATATAACAGTGGTGAGCTGGCTTCTATCCTCTTCCTCGCAGTGCACGATTCAGAGCAAGGGATTCATCATGAATGTCGTTATTGTCATTACTCATTAACCATATGTTCCATTAAACGGTATACGCTCTATATATTTCATTTGCACTGTCAAATCCGTTGAAATATAGTCATTGTTTGTTTCAGCCCCAGGTTTCTGGAGAATTGCGACGCGCCCTCATTGTCAGACGCCGCGCCAACCTACCATATACTAGTATTAGCAATGTATGTGTGATTGATTCAACTATTCATATTTCATTGCAATGTATGCCGCGGTTACCTACCGTGACGAGTAGACTGTCTGGCTACGTCATTCACTGAACATTGTGTTCGTAATATTCAATCAGATCATTTGAATTGAATTTCTGGGATTATCATGCGCCCTATTACACAACCTAGGCATTTCTACAGATCGATGTAATGTCGTCATTGTAACGAGCATTATTTTATTATGCTTTATGTAAACTATTTTTCATAATTTTCATCAGCTACGACCCCCCATTGTTAATGTAATAAAATACTAAATTTAGGTATGCACTTAGTTCTAGTTCAACATATTTATTATTCGGTTTTACCTGCTCTCATAGTATGCAGTGTATATTTGTACGTCAAGTGGGCAGTC